ATGTTGTGTCCACCAAAAACTAAAAACTAAATACTAAAAAATTCTCTCTCTCTCTCTCTCTCTCTCTCTCTCTCTCTCTCTCTCTTTAAAAAAAAAAAAAATGGCTGGGAATATAATTCAGTGGTAAAGCACCACTGGGTGCAATCCCCAAAAGGGAAAGAAAAAAGAAAAAGCTAAACTAAGCATTCAGCATTCACTTCCTCATTTAATTTTTGAAAAAAGGATGAATATATGGAATATTTTAGGCTTTCAAATAGCCAGCCCCCTAGAAATATACTCCCAGAGAACTTCACTCTTTGAAAAACTCTCACACATAGCACCAAAGTTTAGAACATCTGGAGGCGGGTCTAGAGGTATATAGCTCAGTGGTATAGTGCTTGCCTAGCACATGTAGGCCCCTAGTTCAGTCCATAGCACAGCAAAAAAAAAAAAAAAAAAAAAAAATTCAGAACACCACTCTTCATAATAATGAAAATCTGGAAATGACTCAACTGCTATCCATTAACAGTAAAATAAACTATAGCACATTCATACAATGGAATATTCTAAAGCAGAAAAATATGCATGAAATAAAACTGTATACACCAATATGAATGTTTTAAAACTAACATGCAAAGGTAAGCAAAACAAGCTGCCCATGGTGGCACATGCCTGTAATCCCAGTGGCTCAGGAGGCTAAGGCAGGAAGATCCTGAGTTCAAAGCCAGCCTCAGCCACTCAGCAAGGCCCTTAGCAATTTAGCAAGTCTCAAAAGAAAAAATAAAAAGGACTAAGGCTGTGGCTCAGTGGTTAAATGCCCCTGGGTTCAATCCCTCATACCAAGAGTGGGAAAATAGGCAAAACTATCGAAGTCCTAAGCAACTTAATGAGACCCTATCTCAAAAAAATAAAAAGGACTAGGGATGTGTTCCAGTGGTTAAGCACTGAGTTAAATCACCAGTACCAAAAAGAAAAAAAAAAAAAAAAAAAAACAATATATTATTTAAGGATACATTCATAGATAGCAAAATCATAAATGAAAGAATAATTACTAGCATATTTGGGGCTAGGATTATAGCATTGAAAGCAAAACAAAATTATTCAGCATATTAGTTGTACCAGGAGGATCAGAAGTTCGAAGCCAGCCTCAACAACTTAGTGAGGTCCTAAGCAATTTACTGAGACCCAGTCTCAAAATTTAAAAAAGGGGGTTCAATAATAAAGCCCCCCTGGATTCTATCCCCAGTACTGGGGAAAAAATATATATATTGTAACTTCTATTAACTTAGATGCCAGGTATGTGGTTGAGGGGTTTGTCTTACTATAAAGTTTTCAACTATACATATATGTTATATGTACTTCTTTTGTATCTCTTATAAATACACATTTAATTTTTTTATTTAAATCTCCCTGGATTCATATAATGTTAACTTTACAGATCAGGAAAAAATATGTAAATTACCCACAGTTGATACTACAACTCTACATGGCTAAATCAAAACTTGAACCCAGGGGCTGGGGTGTACCCAGCCTAGCATGCATGAAGTCCTGGTTCAATCTAGAGCACAGAAAAAAAGAAAAAAAAAATTGAACCCAAACTTGTTAAATTTCAAAGGTTGTGCTCTTTCCCTTATTATATAACTTCAACACTACCAACTTGGTAACTTGATACTGTTATCTTACAATTACTAAGTGCTAGAAATTTGGGTTAGGTAATTTAATAATAAATCACCAATCTTTCCTTATAAAAAAAAATAAATATAAACAGGGCACTGTGGCACATGCCTATAATCATAGCTACTTGGGAAGCTGAGTCAAGAGGATTACAAATTTGAGGCCAATTAGGACAATTCAGTGACACCCTCTCTCAGCAATAAAGCTGGGTTCATCCCCAGTAGAGGAAAAAAAATAAAATAAAAGCACAAATGTATAGTTACAAGACCAGTGATATTGTTTTTTCAGTGTTAACTCCTATGACAACTCTTCACACTTGAAGCCACAGTTCATTAGCATCTAGCACAAAATAAATGAGCTAATGATACCAAGAATTTTAGTTTCCTCATTTATATGTAGGTGCTGCTAAAATGCAAGAGACAATTCAAGCTAAAATAATCCCAGAGTTCAAATCCTAGAGCTACCATTTATAAGCTGTTTTGAACTTGGGCAAATATATCTCTGAGCCTTTTTCTAACTCATAAAATAGATATATTACCTACCACATTTAGAATTAAATGAGATACTACAGGACAAACTTTTAAGGTCACTGTACTATGCTTCATAGACATTCAATAAATGTTAATTCCCTTCCCTTATTCTAGGACTGAAAAGCTAACTGAAAAGCAAAAGGATAGTCAGAAAAATAAAAAGAAAGAATGAGGTAGGCACAGTGAGTGGCACAGCTTCTCAGAGGCTGAGGAAAGAGGATCAAAAATTCAAGGCCAGGGCTGGGGGTTGTGGCTCAGCAGTAGAGTGCTCCTGCGCGAGGCACTGGGTTCCATCGATCCTCAGCACTACATAAAAATAAATAAAATAGGGACTGGGGATGTGGCTCAAGCAGTAGCGTGCTCGCCTGGCATGCGTGCGGCCGGGGTTCGATCCTCAGCACCACATACAAACAAAGATGTTGTGTCTGCCAAAAACTAAAAAGTAAATATTAAAAAAAAAAAATTCTCTCTCTCTCTCCTTGTCTCTCATTCTCTTTAAAAAAATGAAAATGTTAAAAAAATAAAAATAAAAAATAAATAAATAAAATAGAAGTATTGTGCCCAACTAAAAAAAAAATTTTTGGAAAAAAAAAGTTCAAAGCCAGCCTTAGCAATTTAGCAGGACTCTGCTCAAAATAAAAAGGGTTGAGAATGTAGCACAGTGGTAGAATGCCCTAGGGGTTCAACCCTAGTAGGGTTTTTTGTTGTTGTTTTTGAGTTTTTTGGTTTGGTAGTTGTTTTCTGTGGTACTGGGAACACAATCAAGGCAAGAGCCAGCACCCTACCATTGAACTATACCTGCTGGCCCTGAGAAGAATCTTCAAGAATAATGATTTTTCTGAGGCTGGGGATATAGCTCAGTTGGTAGAGTGTTGCTTTGCATGCACAGGACCTGGGTTTGATCCCCAGCACCAAAAAAAGAATAATAATTTTTTGGCTAGGCATGGTGGTATATGCCTATAATCCTGGTGGCTCAGGAGGCTGAGGCATAAGGATCACGAGTTCAAAGCCAGCCTGATCAACTTAGCAAGGCCCTAAGTAACTCAGTGAGACCCTGCCTCTAAATAAAACACAAAAAAGGGCTCAGTGGTTGACTGTCCCTGAGTTCAATACCAAGTACCAAAAAAAAAAAAAAAAAAATGAAAATGAAAATGATTTTCTAGGGAAAAAGTAGAAATCTTTATTTTGTGGAAATAAAGATATTCCTCCATTCAGAGCAACAGTAAATATAAACAAAATTCAGCTCTGGAGATTCTATTTGCTCTATATTCTCTTGATGAAAATGAGAACTGTAAAGTTATTAAAAGGTAGTATTCCCTCAGAGATTCCCACAGGGATTAATATTAAATTATAGAGTCTCTGATCTGTTACTAAGATTACTATACCACTTTTTCAGATTATAAAACCACAACAAAATATCATGGTCCAGCCACTATAACCACATCTTTTACCTCTTGGACTTAGGAGGTTGTCTCTTCTTTATCATTTCACGGAGCCTTGCAGCTGACTGAAAGCACACAAAATACATACGCATGTAAAAATGCTATCTTACAACCACATAGCTTAACTTTTAAAATATTAAAGTCTATTCAGCAAATAAAGATCCTTAAGACAGAATACCTTTTTTCCATGGTAGACATGAGATAAATATACTATCCATAATAAAGGCAAGTAAATAATGCTGCCCAATACACTGATATTCTGATACTTCAGACAAAGTTGCTAATGAGTTTACATGATGAAATGCAAAATTAACTCAAACATACTATTACAAATAACAAGCTTCAACCTCTACTACTGGCAAAATTACTTTATATTTTTTTCCCAGAAAAAATTGTGATATTTTTCTAAATCAAATCCTATTTTGTTAACTAAAATCATAGATTATGTATTTCTGATAAATTTTCAATTGCTGATGATTTAACAATTTAATCCTTCAATTAATCCCCTCACCTACCTGGTGCAAACAACACAGAATATTTGGGAATCTGTTATTCAGAGAAATCAATTATTTATTTTGTAAAGTTAAGGGTTTGATATCTTTGGTGGGGGCAATTACACCCTCCTAAACAGCTATTCTTTCACACACAGAAATTTTACCCCCATTGTGAAAACACCAATGTAAATTATACCTTTAGCTATCATAATAAACACTAGCATAGACATCTTTTATCCTTAAAGCTCCCTATAAAAAGTATACGCCCATCTATTCTTAAAGTTTAAGATTTAAAAACAAACAGTCCTAGGATGTAGCTTAATTGGTAAAGCATTCGCCTATTATGCAAGAGTCCCTGGGTTCAATGCTACCACTTAAAAAAAAAAAAAAAAATAGGGCTGGAGTTTTGGCTCAGTGACAGAGCACTTGCCTAGCCGTGTGAGGCACTGGGTTTGATCCTCAGCACCATATTAAGAATATAAACAAAGGCTGGAGATGTGGCTCAAGCAGTAGCGCGATCGCCTGGCATGCCTGCAGCCCGGGTTCGATCCTCAGCACCACATACCAACAAAGATGTTGTGTCCGCC